TTGTTAGTCCTTTATTTTTTAATACAAATATGGCTGCCTCAATTTACATGTAAACACAGGAGGGAATAGGGGACCCCAAATAAATGTGGGAGAGAGACATTTGTCACTCATTAAAAAAACCCTAAGAATTCTTTTTTTCACACCTCTGTGCAGTCAGTGGCCTCTGTCCCCCCTTTTCAGACTGTCTCTGTATTACCTGTGGGAAAGTCTGGAGTAAAGAAGTCCACATGATTAGATTTGTGAAAGTATAAACAGGTGCAGTTTCTCTTAGACCTCACACTCCACACTCAGCACTGGAGATACTTTTTTCTCTTTAGAACTTCATGGCAAAGGATACTTGAAACCCTTGGGGGAGCACAGTTAATGGTACCACAAAAGGGTATATCAAGCAGTGATTAGATGCCAATTTTTTTGCAGTCATTTGTACAGAATATTGGAATGGTCTGTCGATACTGCTTCATAGCCAAACTTCAACTACCCAATCCCTTAGTTTCCTCTCTCTCTCTCCTAATTGAAGCATAAGTCTTCAATCATCAGAGAGAACAACATCTTGCCATACAATTCCTATAACTAAAATCAAACCTTTTATTTATTTATTTTTGGATAGGTTTTTTAGACCATGTTTTGTCTATAGATTGCATAGAAGAAAAAAAACTAGTATAAGGTTGGGCACACACCTTACAACCATCACAAGACTTTTGTCTTGCGATGGTTGTAAGGTACTTAAAAAAACGTATGATCTGCCCATCTTGGACAGACAGATCGTACTTGCGATGATCGCAAGCCGTGCCCCCTGGGGGCGGGCTTCCGATGACCGCAATGCCGAACGGGCAGTGGGCGCTTGCGCACACCGGCCCGTCCGGCTTTTATCTTACAAACATGCTACACACCCGCCGAACATCGTACGATGCTCAGCGTGTTTTCAAACATGTTCGGAAGTTTAAAGTCGTGCGACCTTACAGTAGTAGAGGCCGCACGGCTTCCACACACCTCACGATAATCGTACGATCGCGGGATTTCCCGTGATTATCATACGATTATCGCAAGGTGTGTGGGGACCTTAAGACAATATACTGGGATTTAAACATACCCAGAGATTCCTCCTCTGTGCTTGGATGTCGAATTCCAAGTGACAAAAATGTGTTGTGGTCCGGAGTGGGGCTCTTGCGAGACTACCCTGTAATGTCAGTGGAGTGACAAACAACATCACTCTGGCGTATCAAGAACTACTCATTGCGACATATTGCAATGGCAAAAATATCAAATGCAGGGGCTTATGCACTACCTTGTACTTGCTGCACATTTTTTAAAAGAACCCCAATCCATGAGTAGCTTAAAGCTGAACTCAAGGGAAAAGTCAAGACAACCCTTGCAGCGGGCTCTTTCTGCACTGCAAGGGTTAAATGATTGTTTTGTGTAGGATACCATTAAAAAGCATTTTTAATAACCTCGTCCCTCCCTCCTCGAGGCTTTCTTCTCTCCATGCGACCATTCTCATGAAGCCACTTCTCTTCAGTACTCCATCCCTCTGTTGCACTTTGACATCATTGCAAACAATGCAGGGCCAGCAGTCCTGTATTGTAAGTGAGGACGCAGAGGGCCTGCCCTCAACTCAGAGCGCACGGGGAAGAGGAGAGTGCTTCTGGGAGTGAGGGATGAGGTTATTAAAAATGCTTTTTAATGGGAGAAGAGAAACAAGGTAAGTAAAAGTGCTTTTTAATTTTCCCCTAGACAAAAATGAACATTTAGAGGGTCATTCACAAAAGGGTGAAGAGTTTGGAGAAGGCAGCAGAAGTGAAAAATCTAAGACAAAATAGCTGATTTGGAGAACTTTTCCATATCAGCTATTTTGGCTTAGATTGTCCACTTCTCTTGCCTTCTCCAAACTCTTCACCCTTTTGTGAATAACCCTGTTAATCCTTGCAGTGTGAGGGTAGCCGCACTGCAAACATAGTTTTGACATTTCCCCAAAGTTCAGCTTTAATTGGACAAATAGTTGTATGATAACACGAGTAAAGTTATGCTTAAAATGAGTCCTTTTACATGTACAGTACATAAAAATAACAGTCTATTATTTCCCTTCTATGACTGCTTTATTCCCAGGGTTGTTTTAGTGTACCTGAGTGGACAGTCAAATACCATAAATTATTTCGAGGAGAGGCTGTGGTTTGACCAAAGGCATTTTGTGGGAGCTTATGGGAAACATTTTGTAAACCTTGTTCCTGGAAGGAGATCTGGATCTGCTCATAAATTATGCAAAATCTTATTAGTGCATTAGATATCTCCATTAATTTTGAGGATTTAGTACAAAATGCATAGATTAAATAGTAAAATAGCAGACATTTCACCTGAATCCACTAACTGCAAGAGAAGCTTTGCATTTCATGGTGGAAAAAGCGATCATTACATTTTTAATTTTTTTTTATTCATTTCAGTTGTATGTAAACAATACAAATTGCAAATAAGTGTATAGTGAATGATTCTTATTTTCTGTTTGTAACAGCTGAAGTGTCAAGTGATGATTTTGTGTAATCTGCCAAATAAAAAGGGAAAATGACTCAGATTGCAATTCACATTTATGCCATAATATTGACTATATCCTTCATTATTCTCAAAATTGCCAGTGAGATTGGCAATCATCGCAGTATTGGCACTGCTGTGGACATATTTGATCTTGACTTTTGGACTAAAAGTCTTGATGCTTTCATAATTATTAGAAGTGAGCTTGCCGTCTGGTATTTTTGTAACTCTCAATTGATTAGAGCGTACCATGTTGGTCATTATGAACTAATATTAAATAATGAGGAAGTATAACATTATGCACATTATTTGTAAAACAATAAATATAAGGTGATAGTATTTCATGTTTTTATTAGCCATTGTCATACATCTGCTTTTTCAAGTTTGCTTGCCAAACCTTGGGATTATATCTTGGTGTGTGCAATGCCCACCTAAAGAATTTGAGAGTATGTGAAGGAAGACTAAGTGCAGTTATTGCTGTGTCTTTATATTTCTCATGGGAGCATATAACATTGTTTGGTTTAGTTCACATTACAGAGCATTATGTTTTAGCAGCAGTATTGACTATGGATGAGATTCTGTACAGTTACTACAGTTAATACATTTATTATTGATATTGATTTTATGTTTTTGGTGGAAGATTTTTTTTTTATTTATTAAACATTTTGTCTAATTTCAACTGTTTTTTGAGAATTTTTATCAAGTTACTTTTCTTTGTTTGATATCAGGAAGTAAAATAATCTACAATTTTGGTTCGACCTAGAATCCTATTTTGTAAATTGAATCACCCTGCATCTTCAACTTCTGTCCTTCTTGGAATGTTGTCTCATATGTCCTAAACTTAAAGTGATACTAAACTCAGGAATGAAATCCTAAAAATGCATTCAAGTACATTAACTATTAACAAAGCTTTACCTTGTTTGTGTATCACTCAGCTGTAGATCCTCAAATGAACTCTGAGGTAGGGTAACCACTTTTGCTTCCCATGGTCCCTGCCTGTGTTTTAAAGTATCCACTGCTCCAAGCTCGCTCCCATGATGGACTACAATCTCACATTTCGTTTACTAATATGTAGTGAGATTGTAGTCCATCATGGGAGCGAGCTTGGAGCAGCGGCTAACTTACAACACACACAGGGACCATGGGGAACAAATGTAGTCACCCTACAGAAGGAAGAACAGGGTCAGAACAAATGCAGAGATGATTTAAGGATCTACAGCTGAGTGATACTCAAACACGGTACAGTTTTGTTAATGATTACGTTTATTCTTTTCGGGGCAACCATCATTTATTTTCGAAAGTGATACTTTTAGTGAAGTTGTCCTTTTAAGCTTCTCCCCACTCTCTTCAAATATGAGCCACATAGCCAAATACTTACCTTCTGCCTCACTTTGGGGATCTTCACTGTGTGGCCCTGCCTGACTCTGCACGGCCTTTGCTTCAAAAAGACCAAGCCAATTCCTGCACTTAGTGCACATATGTGCGGCTCACTCTATTCATTCCCTTTTGTTGGTAATGTAGACATCTTAAAACACCTGCATACATTCAGCATCGTGTTAAAATAAATCAGTACTAAGAGGTTATTGTCACCAATCAAATCTGCCTTGGAAGTTTGAGTGGAATTGATGATTTTAAAAGAAGAGATGTGATACTGTTCCCTGCAAGGTGGTCTGTGTATGCTGACTGCAGTGGATTAGATGGAGCACAGATTAAGGTAAATTGAGGGGAACTTCAGATTTTAGCACAGATATAGTTTGCTATTTTTTACCCTCCCCCCAATGTTAGCACTTACCTTAAATTAGGTTTCCTAATCCGATCTTCCTCTTCCTTCCTGATGTTTTCATCTATCCCTTCAGCGGTGCGGCGGCTCTACGATCCAGCACTGACTCCTCTCTGATTGCAGACACTTTCCGATCCAGCGGTGTCTGCATGTGGGTGCACACGTCCATAGACTTACCTTGCGTCTCTGCTCGTCTCCCGGCCGAAAATCCAACTGCGCATGCGCCCACCCCAAGATGCTTTTTGGCCACCCGAGCAGTTTAGGATTCTCGGGCGGGAACGCACGACGAAAACAGGGTAAGTTTAAACCGCTGTTAAAGCTGGTTTTTAAAAAAAAAAACTTTTTGCATATACTGTATCTACTGCTCGCTAGCAGTAGATATAGCAGTAGATATAGGCAAAAAAACCGGGGGGTTTAGAACCCTTTAAGGAACTTACCAATTTACATGTTGCTTGACATTGCACTTTAAATGCGAAATCCATGGACAGGAAAGGTTTTGCGCTTGTAATTGGAAGTCCTAACTTAGTAATAATGCACATTATTGGACATACTTGAACTACTTGGAATTCAGGCAATGTGCTATTTAGACTATAAGCACTTGTGAGCAGGGTACCCAATATCACTTTGAGTCATGTATTTAGTGGTATAGTATATATTACAATAGAGACATATTAATCTGCTTTTTTTTTTCTTCTTTTAGGGTGTTGGTCTTTCTGTTCATGGACATTTTAGAGTGGCATCTGAAAAGACTTTGTTTGCCATGCCAGAAACTGCAATAGGTAGGAATACACACTCTCACAACATTTGACAGGAAAAAAATTGTCAACTGTTTGGCAGCTTGCCTAGGTTCAGTAGAATGATTTGCTTTCCGGATGTCATTAAAATGTTGATAAAAACAAATCTAAATATTTTGTTTTGAAATTAAAGATATGGGTTCTGTTATCTAAAAGCCAGAAAACTAAAAGGAAAAAGCAAACAAATAACCGGTATGATTTGTCATGCATTCAAGATTTAAAAGGTTCTTCTACTTTATTTTTGAGAAGCACTCCTAAATAATCTGGGTATTTCTGTTATAGGTGCTATGCTGCCATAATCTGCTCAGCAGTGTTTTGGGTTTTTTTTGGCCTAGTCTTGGATGTCTGACAGTATATATAGTATGTTCTAACTCTTCACTGAATCACTCATTAAATCATTTGTGGTCCTCTTTTAGTTTTTATGTGCAGAGGTTTTTAAAAACGGCATCTGACAAAGCTTTCATATTTTTAAAATGTGCTTTGCATATACAAAAATAAATTTACACTGGCACAATAGACTTAGCATATGTGGGGTACCTGAGCACCTGGCTAACCCTCAGTGGAATTCCTTGACAAAGCAAATTGAGAATCACTGGGATTTACATCATGGGTCATCATTTTGGAAAGAGAACATACTGTTGTTGCATGGCAATGTTATATCTGGCCCTAGGCATCATAGCAAAGTATATTTTTATGTAACTAATTTGGCTTGTGGACCTGCTTGAAAATACCATTGATATGTTGTAATGTCTACCCTAAATTTGCCCCCCCCCGTAAAAACAATTTTTAGTTTTGCAGATTATTAATTTGGCAAACCTGTCTCCCTTATCCCTGAATGAACTGTACATTTAAGGATATTTGCAGGCTGTGCATTAGGTGATGATGACACAGGATTAGGTGTGTGAGTTCGGTAAGCTGTTTTTTTTTCTTTTGAGCCTTCTAAAAAAACCAAGGAGATTGTGTCTGCTTTGCTGTGCACCATATTGTGCAGATCAATACATTGTATGTCAGTACCTTGCACATCTCCAGCTTATACTGTATGTGTTTGCTTTTATTTTGTAACAATCATCAAGTCAAATGTACAATGCATGAATGCTATTTGGAGCATCAGAATCTAATGGCCAGACGTGCCTGATTACATCTAAGCCTTGCAAATATTCCAGATTCAGCCTATACATTTATATCTGTAAAAAATAAGTCAAGGCAACTGGACTTGCTCTATTTTTCTTAAAGACGTTTCACTGGTCATCCAACCAGCTTTCTCAATTCAGAATGACTTGTATAAAAAATTATCTGGGAATAAATATGGTGAATGTCGCTATAATCCACATAATCTGTTAGTCACAACCAGGTGTTGAATGCATTTGCATAATTGGGGTCTAGGAGGTGTTATTATCCGGCCCCTGAGGTGTTAAAACAGCATTGTATGTGGCAGACAATAGATATTTCACACTGTAGCCCTGTTGTTGCTGTGCCTGCACAGTTTATGCATATTTATTTTTTTGTGTATTGTGTACTTTGCTCTTTAGAACTAAACTGCTAACAGAGTCGATAGACGCTTTGTCCTACCAGGTTAACTATGCACAAGAGCACATCTCCTGATTGCTCTATACTCCTTTGAAAGTACACTAGCATCCATAGTCTAGTGTCACATTAAAGAGTTCACTTTCCTGTTGATAGGGTGCTCATTTGTGTGTTGCTTTTTTCCTGTACTTTTGACTCTTCCTGCTAGTTTGTTTTGCTCGTGGTTCTTGTCTGTTCTCAATCTTTTTAGATCCTGTTGCCTTTATTTGCCTGATATCCCTGATCATGCTGCTGCTACCTCTGACCTCTTGGACTCCTTGGGTCTGATCTCTTGCTTGACCTAATCTTGCTAGAACACCACAAGCCCAGACCTTGGCTGTGTTAATGATTACTTCACTGCTCAGCCTTTTTTGCTTAGACGCTCGACTCTTGATTCCCCCCAAAATAATCTTGGTTTCTCACCTGAATGACCCCACAGTCCTAAAGAGGTAAAAGGGATTCTGTCCTGGGCAGAAAGACGCATTCCAGCCTTGTCCAACATTTACATCCCAGGTGTGGACAGTTGTCAGGCAGACCTTCTCAGTCAGCAGTGCCTGCATCCAGAGGAATGGTCCCTACACCCCAAGATGTCCCAGGACCTGTGTCACAAGTGGAGAGCACTGGATGTGAACCTCCTGGCCTTCAGATTTAACAACACACTGGACAGGCTTGTCTCTAGGTCCAGAGTTCCTCTGGCAGAAGCAGTTGATTCTCTGGTGGCTCAGTGGAATTGTTACCTGCTAATTTATGCATTTCCTCCCCTGAAACTCGTTCGTCGTCTGCTCCGCTGGAGCAAGATGGAAGGCAGATTAATGCGGTCCCCTACCTGATCAGACTCCTGGCAAATGTGTCATGGAGTCTTCCAAAGTGTCTGGTTCTTCTGTCCCAATGACCAGTTTTCCCTTTAGTTTCATAGTTGCTTGTTTTGAATTGCATGGCTGTTGAAGCCCAGGTGTTTAGGGGCATAGGAGTCTCTGAATTAGTAAATCCCACGATGCTAAAAGCTAGAAAGTCTACTTCCAGCAATATCTGCCATCACACATGGAAGCATTCTTTGCTTAGTGTGAAGAAATAAAAATGTCATCCTATAACATTTTCTGTGGGTTGAATCCTGGAATCCTGAAATAAGACCTGGATCTGCATCTGGCTCTGAGGACCATCAAGGGGCAGATCTCGGCGCTTGTGATCTTGTTCCAGAGATCGCTAGCTTCATACTCTTTGATTAAGACTTTTGTGCAAGGTGTCTCTCATGTGGCTCCCCCCAGTGGTGTATTTAGGTTTGGGGTTGCCCTAGGCAAGACAAAACTCGGGCGCCCCCCCATACACTAAATTTACCCCACCTGGCTGTGGTCTCAGGTGGGCTCTGCGGTGGTCTCTACAGGATCTGTGGTGGTCTCTACAGGATCTTTGGTGGGCTCTGCGGGGTCTCAGGCTGCTAAGCCCACCATAGACCCCGCAGAGCCCGCCACAGA